TAGGCCTTCATTTTAAACTAAGCTCACTCCCATGTGATCTTATTTTGTATCAAGCACAAGGAGTTTGTTCTACTCACCCTGTGCTGTTCATCCTGGTCTGTTAGGTTATTGGGGTGTTACAGCATTTAACCCCTTCCCAGTCATCCTAAAAAAGCAGCCCCAACAATTGAGAGACTAGGCACAAAGTAACAATGAAGGAGCTGGGCCTTTCTTGCAGCCTGCACCTCCTCCTCCAATACATTTTAGCATGAGTTTGTTACCAGTGTGTCCAAAAGCCTCCTTTGTCTCTCCCCAAAGTCTCTGCTCCGTGACAATGTGATAAGGATGGGCCCAGCAGAGAGACACATCCTTACCCTATCTCTTTAGGTAACCTGAGCTGGATACATTTCTGAGGGAGAGGGGAAACCTGCTCTCTCTCTGCCTATGTGACTAGTATCACATACCTGGGTGAGGGGCTTCCTTCCTGGTAGGCTAGAGTCTGCCCGGCAACTAGTGATGTATTTCAAATTAGTTGGCTCACAGACACCGGGTGCTGGCCTCCACTGGACCAGGTAAAAGACATCACAAGGCCTATATAAGTTAAGAACTGCCTGGGAGGAGGGGGTGGCAGCCATGAGGGATACTCAGGAATAAAGAAGAGCTGTACCATCTGAAATTTGCTCTCTCTCTCAAAACTCATGATCAAGGAACTGCTTGCCTCCAGAGGGAATCTCCAACAGCCTCTGGATGATACTTGTGAGTAAGCTAACTGAGATCCAAATAGATATATAGTTTGCAGTAACTCAGATGCAAGATCAAAGGATACCCAGCCAGGGGAGTTTGCTCTAGGGGTTTCTCTGATATTGCTCTACCCTGTACCCTATTCTAACCCTACCCTCTGTAACCAATAAAGTTCTCCTTTGTGACTGGGGCAGGAGACTTATTGAGGGGTGGGTTTAATTATGCCTAGGAGGCCCCTTGGGTCTGTGGACTAAGGGAAACTATCCTTTTTGGCCCCAGACTTGGGGAAGTGCCCCAAGTTCTTGTATTGAGTCGGTTACCGTAGGACTATTAGGCTTGTGTTTTCCCGAGGACACAGGACCCAGACAGTCCCTTCTCGGGATGGTGGCAGCACACATTACCCCTGGACTCTGCGGTGGAGATTGAAAAGGGGTCTGCCAGGACTTAGGCACCCCTGGAGAGACACATGGAGTGCAGAACGGGGACGGGCATAGTGAGGTGGGAAGCTCAATGCAGGAGCTCCCCCTACTGCCCACCACAACCAGAATGGCCAGTAACCTCTGCTAGACATCTGTTTTGATGGATAGCAGGGCAGGTGATGTCACGTTAACACTTCCAATATTTTTCTTACATTGATTCAGCAGTTCTACGTTCTTCCTTCTCATCAGCATGTGATTTAATCATCTCCAAACCAGACATGCACTCTTGGATACTGAGGATACATGTACCTCACTGCCCATAAATGCATCCCGCTGCCATTGGGTACTGTCCCAAACACCAGGCCTTTGTTTTAAACGAAGCACATCACCATGCAATCTTGTTTTGTTCCAAACATAAAGTGGCTTGTTCTACTCACCCTGTTCTGTTTGTCCTGGTCTCCGAAGTTACTGGGGTGCTACAGCAAATAACTCCTTCCCAGTCATGCAAACAAGGCCTGAGCCCCTGGCGAAGCCAACAGTTTTCCCCTGATGGGGCTGAAGGCAATTCTTATTGGATGTGTCCACATCCTTGTCGTCTCAGAGACCAATGAGACAAAAGCAGGTCACCCTGAAGGCAGAGATTGGCTGTTCCTCACCCACAAGCATCTTTATATAGAGCAGATACCGAAGGGGATCCTGAGTGGATCTGGTTGTTTTCCTCCCAGGGGCCTGAAATCTCCTCACCATGCTCTGGGCTCCCTTTGTGGTGCTGCTGGGCACCTGGTGCACAGGTGAATATGGGAGACCATTATAAGTTTGCATTGAAGTGGCAGATAAGGCCAATGCTCACTCCACATCCCTAAGGACCATCCTGGGTGAGTGTGACAGGTTTCTACCCTTTCACTTTCCAGGCTCCAGGTCACAGTCTCTACTGACTCAGCCGCCCTCCATGTTGGTGCACCCAGGAAACACCGTGAATCTCGACTGCTCTATCCAGTGGGAGCAGCAGCAGTGGCTACAGAGTGTACTGGTACCAGCAGAAACCTAGCTGTCCCTCGCGGTACCTCCTGAGACACACAACGGATTCAGACAAGCACCGGGCCCATGGGCTCCCTGCTCGCTTCTCCGGATCCAAGGACCTGTCCAGGAACACCTGCTCTCTAACCATCTCGGGGGGTCCTCACAGAGGACGAGGCTGATTATTACTGTGGCATGTGGTACAACAATGCTAAACACAGCACATCAGTCCACTGGAGAATTGAGACAAAAACCTCCCAAAGCTGTTTTCTGTCGGGGTCTGCATCTGCTGCGAGGTTTGGCCTGTGCCCTTAAACACCACACAAAGGTTTCTTGTTCCTAGCTCTCTCTACCTACTCATGTTGTGGGACGGGATCTGAATGGGACAAGGACACTTCTCCTACCCATGGCCCCAACACCTGCTGTCCCAGCGCAATGAAAAACTCTCCATTCTCATTAAGAGAATTTGCCCCTAGCTCTCAGGGGCTTTAGCAACAGCTAGACCATGGCAGCATGGTGGATCTGCTCCTGTCTAGCTCTGCAGGGTGTGGCGGGCCAGTAGGGGGCGCTCCTGCGTTGAGCCGCCCACCTCCCTGCTCCCGACCACCTTCCAGGCTCCGAGTGCCTCCCTTGGGGTGCCTCCCGTCCCACGGGGGCTGGGGTGCCTCTGCTGGGGTGGATGATGGCAAGTGAGCAGGAACAGATTTCCATGAAGGGGCAGATCTCAGATCTGGGGGGTTAAGAGAGACATGGAGGATCCTAGCCACAGACCTGCTTGCCTGGGGAATCCAAGCTGATCTGCATTCCCACCATGCAGGGGTGATGTGTAGGAGATGCATGCAGGTGCATGTGCACTGCCTGAGCATGGTGGTGCACCCCCTACAAGGCTCCGCTCGCCACCCAGCTGCTGATACCAATAGCGGTGTCTGCAGGCGGTCCGCAATCCCCACTGGCCACCGCTGATGCTGCTGGTGGTGCCTGTGGGTGGTTGCTGACACTTGGTCGGTGCTTGCCACCCCCCACTGCAAATAGCGCTGGCAATGTCTGTGGGAGAGCCACACTCCTGCCACTGCCAGCACAGCCGTGCCTCCCCAGCTGCCGGGGGCACGTATCGTTCGTTCCACCATGGCCTGGGCCTTGTTCCTCTTCACACTGGTCACCAATTTCTCTAGTACTAGGCTGGTGTGGGAGGAGATTTCACAGTCACAGGGCATGGAAATGATAGAGTAAAGGCTGTGTGTTTTGCAACAGAGTCCACTGTGCTGACCAGGACATTGGCACTCCAGTAACCCTCTTCTTCTAAAGAAACCATCCCCCTTCCTTCCCAGCAACTGACCATAAAGAAGGGGCTCCCAGTGGTGGGGGTGCTGTGGGTCTGCAGAGAAGCCAGGGACTGAGAGGAGCCAGAGGCTTGTCCTTGTGAGGCCATGCTAGCACTGGCTGCAAGGGGTGCTCTGAGCCTGCTTCCTTGGGGAATCCCATGGGAGAGCTTTAGCTAATTCCTCTGAAAAAGGGCCGGGGACCCCACGTGAGATGGCGGTGCATGGGACTCCCTGGACACTCCCAGGCCCAAACTCCCAATGACAACCAGGCTCCTCGCCCTCTCTCCTTGGAGCTTCCCTGATTTGAATGAGCAGGTGAAAGGGAAAAGCTGCAGCTCAGGTCCCTCCCTGCCTTTCCCCAAACAGATGGCTGATCACGGTGCTCTGCTTGGTCACCTGCCTGGGGAAAGACAAGCACCGTTGGTCTCCCCACGGCATTTCAGTGCTGCTCATTGGCTGCTGCTGGCCCGGGTGCAACATGCTGAGACAGCCTGTTTCCAAGAGAGGGGTAGTCCTGAAGCTACCGTGTCCCAACCTCCCAGCCAAACACAGAGGGTAAAGAACCAAATGCCAGGATTGGCAGGGACCACGAGCATCGTCATATTCAACCCCATGCACATGCGGAGCACTACAACTCCTCAACAACTCCCTGTCCAGTGCTTATCTATCCTCTTCTGGAACATCTCCAGTGATGTCGTCACTCCCTGCTTTTATTCTCTGGGGATCGTTAAGTCTGTAAGTGGAACAAATATATATTGCTACGCAAGGGGCAATCGGTTTTTCTCACTGCCCAGGGGCATTGTGGCATGTATTAAAGGGGCCCAGAGTGCTACGTAAGTGCTATCTTCATGAACAAGAAACTCATTACCAGTGACATTAGGATGGTTCCTTCTGCATCTTCCCCAATGGCCTGAACCCATGACCCTGAAGCAAACCCAAACAGCTTGTTGCGTGCATGAGGATCAGAGCAGTCACCTGGCAATCACCCTAGCACATGCCTCCACAGAGCAGCTCCCCTGCATGTGGGCCCAACCTGGCACAACTTTCTTTCCCCAAAGCACAGTCCCCGCACTCTGCCTCCTTTCCCTGCCTCAGCCTTGCTTTCCAGTTCCTATGCGGAGTGACCGCATTACACTTTGCTTGTGCCCAAAAAGCACTGAGCTGAGTTTGCTCAGCATGTAGATGACCCATAGACCTGCAGCCATAGCTGGGTTATGTGAAGCCAAAACAGGAAGCCATAGGATTGCTCCAGACAACTCCAAAAAAGCCCTCAGTGTGGCAACAGGCAGCAAACCCCACCTCTTGGTATCACTGGCACCAAGGAGGAAGAAACCTTCTTGTGCTACAGGAGGCAGACCTAGCCTAATATCAGGGACCAGTCAGAGGAGAACAGATTAGCAGGAAGGAGGAGTTTTATCGTTCCTCTACTGGGGGGTGGGGACGGGGCGGCGAGAGGGAGATCATTATAAGGGGCAGATACTGCGGGGCATCGTCAGAAAAAAGAACCAGATATCTCCTCATCATGCTCTGCGCTCCCCTCCTTGTCGTGCTGCTGGGGGTGTGGTGCACAGGTGAGAACAGAGGAAGGGTTAAGCATACTTTAAAACTTACTGCTAAAGCCAATGCCCACACTGTTTCCAGGCATGACAGACATGTAAGCAGGCTGTAACAGGTTTCTACCATGTTTTCCAGGTTCCAGCTCCCAGTCTGTGGTGACACAGCCGCCCGCAGAGTCAGTGTCTTCGGGAAACACTGTGAAACTCTCCTGCGCCATGAGCAGTGGGACCAGCATCAGTGGCTACTATGTGTACTGGTTTCAGCAGAAACCTGGGACCCCCCCTCGGCACCTGCTGAGATACAAGTCGGATTCTAACAAGCACCAGGGCTCCGGGGTCCCCGCTCGCTTCTCTGCTTCCAAAGACACGTCCAGTAACACCTGCTACCTGACCATTGCCGCTGCCCTTGCAGAAGACGAGGCTGACTATTACTGTGCTGTGTGGCACAGCTTCCCCTCTCACAGTGATATAGTGAGAGGGGAAGTGAGACAAAAACGTCCACTGCTCTGCCCAGCCAGGGCTTTGTGAAAAACTGGAAAACTGGAATCTGCTCCATACCCCGAACTCCAGCACATGGTTCATTGCAGGGGACTGAAGCCCTGTGGAGTGGCTTAAGATGAGATGGGGTCCCAAGGTGGCGAGCCCACTACCCAGGGCCCAGGCCCCACTGTGCAGCGCTGAAATCAGATTATCCACTGTCTTTTCAAACCAGCGTATCTTCAACCCTTATACTTGTGAAGAGGCCTTTGAGGGAAGGCCAGCCTGGAACAAGAGCTGTGGGAGGCTTCAACTTCCCAATGCCTCTCAAATCTGGACCTACTGCTCTGCTGGCCCCTGTACCCGCTGGACCCCCGGGAAGATGGGTGTGTGTCATCGCCCAACAACATCTGGACTAACTTAGGCCTGTGCAAATAGGCAACTATTCAAATATGGATTCGGTTGATTTGATTTGGAGATTCGAACCGCTTTTCCAAATCGATTTGGAAAAGATTTGGAGCCGATTTGGAGAGATTCGGAGATTCGACCATAGGTATAATGGGGAATCAATTAAATATCCATAACTGTATTCTTTTTGGCTGATTTGAATGAAACATGCAGGGCTGGTAGCCCTTTCAAACTCATCGGTTCAGGGATTTCTGGGAAACTGCACCTCAAATTCGTGAGGGCAAAAATCATGTCACGTGTGTGTGTTAGGCCACAGCAGGGTGAAAACTGCAGGGGTGGTAGCCCCTGCTGAGGCCACAAAGCCTCCAGATGTCAAGGAGACACAGGGGGTCTGGGTTCTGGGGCCCTGCGCCTCTGGCCGCAGGCAGGCAAAACTCATGACATGGGCGCTTGTGGGACTGTGTGTGTGTTCAAGTGAGCCCTTCCTGGTGCTGGGGCCTCTGCACAACACGGCAGTGTGCCCCCGTGCGGCCTCATCCCCCACAAACTCATGGACTCAATCTACACAGTGGAGTTCTGGCACGCTGCGACCGGCCGGACACCTGACACCCCAGGGACCGCTGCACTTTGACTTGTGCTGCTACGTCCCACTTTCCCCACTGCCCCCCACCCCAGCCTGTCCCTCCCCGCTGATGCCTCCATTTCCATTTTCACTGACTGGCTTTCTTGCCTGCATTGCGTGCCAGGCAGCCTCTGACTATTCCTTCCATCCAGGACCACGAGACACACCAATTGCACATTCTTCCTCAGCCTGACAAAGGGTTTTTCAACCCAAAAGCTTCCTAGGAAATATTTTTCTAACTATTTCGGTGTTTTCCATAATAAACATATAAACACACCAACACAAGATAAGCCATCGCACACCACGAGAAACGGAGATCCAACACAACATCTTTACTTCTTGCTGTCAATTCCTTTATGAAAAGAATGGCTCTGTGACAGTTCCCTGTGGGTACCTTTGATGCTGCTGATGCTATTGGTGCTGAGCCAGCCAAGTTACTTTGACCTGCCATCGTTTACAGTGGTGGACTGGACCGAGGCTCTAGGGGAGAAGGAGACCTCACGGGGGCAGACTGCCATGTTGTGCAGAGGCTCCAGCACCAGGAAGGTCTCACCCGAACACACACACAGTGCCACCTATGTCATGAGTTTTGCTTGTTGGCAGTTTGAGGTGCAGTTTCCCAGAAAGGCCTGCACCTATCTCCCTGAAACTTGGCAGGCTTTGTGGCCTCAGGAAGAGCTACTACCCTGCAGTTTTCACCCCACTGTGGATTATCAGTAGGGCTGTGTGAATCTTAGGATCCCGCTTCGGATCCAGCCCCGCTTCGGATGCTTCGGCGTCCAAATCAGCACTTCCAGGTCGAAGCGGATTACCAGCAATAGTGTCCGGAGCAGGTAGGGGGCATCTGAAACACTTCGGACCCGCTTCGGATGCTTTGGAGCAGCTTTGGCCATTTTGAGACAATTAGAAGAGGGAGGGGGAGGAGGGAGGAATGGTGCGTGCAAGTGGGGGAGGAAGGAGGGCGGCAGGGGAGGTAGGAAGACTGACGTCTGTAGGTAGCCAGTGCAAAGGATTTCTCCCTCGCTACCTTTCCAATGGCAGCATCTGTGGAGTGGGACTAAAGAAAGTATTGAAGCCCCTGTTTCCAGCCCTTCTGTGCCTTTTGCAGCTCGTTCCCTGTCAGCAGCTGTGGGAGAGAGGAACGCTGTGACTGAGACCTGCCTGCTGCTTTTTCATGTTATAAAGGAGTGGTTAGGATTTAGCTTAACTTAGGTTAGTTTAGCTTAGCTCTCCAATTCAATTATTAATAATATTAAAATTCAATTGATTTCTTTGAATTTTGGGGGGGGAACTTATTTTGGAAACTTTGCAAAAAGACAGTTGTGTTTTCCCAGACAGTGTTAGCTATCACTGTGCAGGGAGGCACAGATTGCTTGCTTGCACACATGCACGCACACATGCATGCACATACACAGAGAACCAGAATATGGGAAAAAAAGCACAGTGGAAGAAGACAGATATTTACAGAAAAGCAAGACACAGATAATATACTGAGACTCAGGAACACACGCAAATAATTTCATTCACAGCACAAGACCAGATAGACAATATCATGAGAGCCAGAAAGAAGACACAAAAGAAGACACAAAAATAATTTCATTCACAGTGCAAGATAGACACAGAGATTCACAGAACAAGACAGAGAGATATACAAAAGGATTCACACGCACGCAGAGACCTTTTGCAGCACAGGAAAGATCAATAGGAAGCGTGCTGGAAAGGCAGGTGCCAGGCCTTTGGGCAGGGAAGGGAGAGAGGGTAAGGAGAGAGCTCGAGCTGCAAGCTCCCCGTCCCAAACACAGACGCGTTCTCTTCCCGAGCAGCCATGGCATCAGTGCTGCCAGTGGAGGCCAGGCGGTGGAAGCAGTGTCTGCACCTAACGTCCCTGCATCTGCACCACCTCCGCTCAGTCCAGAAGTGGGCACCAGCAGTGGAATCACTGCCTCTTCCACCCCAATTTCAGCTCTCAGCGTGAGCCTCGTACTGTCAGAGGAGGAGCTGGAGCTGGAACCAGGGATGGTGAGCGCGCTGGCTCAGGCAATTCTGGGGACTGTGGGGGAATCAGAGTTAGTGCTCCACACCCCTCACATTTCCCCTAGACCCAGGTCTCCTCCGGAAAGCAGCACCTCGGAGGAGGCTGAGGTTGTGGAGGCAAGTGGCTCAGCTGAGGCAGCTCCTCCTGCTGTCCAGCCTTAGCCTGCTGAGAAGGGGGAAAAGGCAGGATCCTCATCCTCAACCCAGAAGTCGGGAAATAGTGCAGTGTAGGATCATTTTGAGGTGGCAGATGAT